ACCTTACAACACATTTAGCACTTTACAACACATTCAACACCTTACAACACATTTGGCACTTTACAAAACATTCAATACCTTACAACACATTTAGCACTTTACAACAAATTCAACACCTTACAACACATTTAGCACTTTACAACACATTTAGCACTTTAATACACATTCAGCACTTTACAACACATTTAGCACTTTACAACACATTCAGCACTTTACAACACATTCAACACCTTACAACACATTTAGCACTTTACAACAGATTTAGCACCTTACAACAAATTCAACATCTTACAACACATTTAGCACTTTACAACACATTCAACACCTTACAACACATTTTAGCACTTTAACAAAAAATCAACAAATTTAGCACTTTACAACAAATTCAACACCTTACTAAACATTCAGCACCTTACAACAAAATTCAATACCTTACAACACATTTAGCACTTTAACACAAATTCAACACCTTACAACACATTTAGCACTTTACAACAAATTCAACACCTTTCAACACATTTAGCACCTTACAACACATGTAGCACTTTACAACACATTCAGCACTTTACAACACATTCAACACCTTACAACAAATTCAACACCTTACAACACATTTAGCACCTTACAACACATTCAACATCTTACAACACATTTAGCACTTTACGACACATTCAACACCTTAAACAAATTCAACACCTTACAACACATTCAACACCTTACAACAAATTCAACACCTTACAACACATTTAGCACCTTACAACAAATTCAACATCTTACAACACATTTAGCACTTTACAACACATTCAACACCTTACAACACATTTAGCACTTTAACAAAAATTCAACAAATTTAGCACTTTACAACAAATTCAACACCTTACTACACATTCAGCACCTTACAACAAATTCAATACCTTACAACACATTTAGCACTTTAACACAAATTCAACACCTTACAACACATTTAGCACTTTACAACAAATTCAACACCTTTCAACACATTTAGCACTTTACAACACATGTAGCACTTTACAACACATTCAGCACTTTACAACACATTTAGCACCTTACAAGAAATTCAACACCTTACAACACATTCAGCACCTTACAACAAATTCAACACCTTACAACACATTTAGCACTTTACAACACATTCAACACCTTACAACACATTTAGCACTTTAAAACACATTCAACACCTTACAACACATTTAGCACTTTACAACACATTCAACACCTTACAACACATTTAGCACTTTACAACACATTCAACACCTTACAACACATTTTAGCACTTTACAACAAATTCAACACCTTACAACAAATTCAACACCTTACGACACATTTAGCACTTTAACACAAATTCAACACCTTACAACACATTTAGCACTTTAACACAAATTCAACACCTTACAACACATTTAGCACTTTACAACAAATTCAACACCTTACAACACATTTAACACTTTACAACAAATTCAACACCTTACAACACATTTAGCACTTTACAACACATTCAACACCTTACAACACATTTGGCACTTTACAAAACATTCAATACCTTACAACACATTTAGCACTTTACAACAAATTCAACACCTTACAACACATTTAGCACTTTACAACACATTTAGCACTTTAATACACATTCAGCACTTTACAACACATTTAGCACTTTACAACACATTCAGCACTTTACAACACATTCAACACCTTACAACACATTTAGCACTTTACAACAGATTTAGCACCTTACAACAAATTCAAAATCTTACAACACATTTAGCACTTTACAACACATTCAACACCTTACAACACATTTAGCACTTTAACAAAAAATCAACAAATTTAGCACTTTACAACAAATTCAACACCTTACTAAACATTCAGCACCTTACAACAAATTCAATACCTTACAACACATTTAGCACTTTAACACAAATTCAACACCTTACAACACATTTAGCACTTTACAACAAATTCAACACCTTTCAACACATTTAGCACCTTACAACACATGTAGCACTTTACAACACATTCAGCACTTTACAACACATTCAGCACCTTACAACAAATTCAACACCTTACAACACATTCAGCACCTTACAACAAATTCAACACCTTACAACACATTTAGCACTTTACAACACATTCAACACCTTACAACACATTTAGCACTTTACAACACATTCAACACCTTACAACACATTTAGCACTTTACAACACATTCAACACCTTACAACACATTTAGCACTTTACAACACATTCAACACCTTACAACAAATTCAACACCTTACAACACATTTAACACTTTACAACAAATTCAACACCTTACAACACATTTAGCACTTTACAACACATTCAACACCTTACAACACATTTGGCACTTTACAAAACATTCAATACCTTAAAACACATTTAGCACTTTACAACAAATTCAACACCTTACAACACATTTAGCACTTTACAACACATTTAGCACTTTAATACACATTCAGCACTTTACAACACATTCAACACCTTACAACACATTTAGCACTTTACAACAAATTAAACACCGTACAACACATTTAGCACCTACAACAAATTCAACACCTTACAACACATTTAGCACTGTACAACACATTCAACACCTTACAACACATTTAGCACTTTACAACAAATTCAACACCTTACAACACATTCAGCACCTTACAACAAATTCAACACCTTACAACACATTTAGCACTTTACAACACATTCAACACCTTACAACACATTTAGCACTTTACAACACATTCAACACCTTACAACACATTTAGCACTTTACAACACATTCAACACCTTACAACACATTTAGCACTTTACAACACATTCAACACCTTACAACAAATTCAACACCTTACAACACATTTAACACTTACAACAAATTCAACACCTTACAACACATTTAGCACTTTACAACACATTCACCACCTTACAACACATTTGGCACTTTACAAAACATTCAATACCTTACAACACATTTAGCACTTTACAACAAATTCAACACCTTACAACCACATTTAGCACTTTACAACACATTTAGCACTTTAATACACATTCAGCACTTTACAACACATTTAGCACTTTACAACACATTCAGCACTTTACAACACATTCAACACCTTACAACACATTTAGCACTTTACAACAGATTTAGCACCTTACAACAAATTCAACATCTTACAACACATTTAGCACTTTACAACACATTCAACACCTTACAACACATTTAGCACTTTAACAAAAAATCAACAAATTTAGCACTTTACAACAAATTCAACACCTTACTAAACATTCAGCACCTTACAACAAATTCAATACCTTACAACACATTTAGCACTTTAACACAAATTCAACACCTTACAACACATTTAGCACTTTACAACAAATTCAACACCTTTCAACACATTTAGAGCACCTTACAACACATGTAGCACTTTACAACACATTCAGCACTTTACAACACATTTAGCACCTTACAACAAATTCAACACCTTACAACACATTCAGCACCTTACAACAAATTCAACACCTTACAACACATTTAGCACTTTACAACACATTCAACACCTTACAACACATTTAGCACTTTACAACACATTCAACACCTTACAACACATTTTAGCACTTTACAACACATTCAACACCTTACAACACATTTAGCACTTTACAACACATTCAACACCTTACAACACATTTAGCACTTTACAACAAATTCAACACCTTACAACAAATTCAACACCTTACAACACATTTAGCACTTTAACACAAATTCAACACCTTACAACACATTTAGCACTTTAAAACAAATTCAACACCTTACAACACATTTAGCACTTTAAACACAACAAAAATTCAACACCTTACAACACATTTAACACTTTACAACAAATTCAACACCTTACAAACACATTTAGCACTTTACAACACATTCAACACCTTACAACACATTTGGCACTTTACAAAACATTCAATACCTTACAACACATTTAGCACTTTACAACAAATTCAACACCTTACAACACATTTAGCACTTTACAACAAATTCAACACCTTACAACACATTTAGCACTTTAACACAAATTCAACACCTTACAACACATTTAGCACTTTACAACAAATTCAACACCTTACAACACATTTAAAACACTTTACAACAAATTCAACACCTACAACACAATTACAACACATTTAGCACTTTACAACACATTCAACACCTTACAACACATTTGGCACTTTACAAAACATTCAATACCTTACAACACATTTAGCACTTTACAAACAATATACAAATTCACCTTACAACACATTTATCACTTTACAACAACACATTTTTAGCACTTCAATACACATTCAGCACTTTACTACACAATTAGCAATTTCTTACAACACCTTACAACACATTCAGCACTTTACAACACTTTCAGCCCTTTTTCTTACAACACATTCTCTTACTTCATCTTCGTCACTTCTTCCTCTTCTTCCCCTTCTTCCTCTTCTTTCCCTTCTTCCTCTCTCTATCCTCTTCTTCTACTCTTCCTCTTCTTCCCCTTCTTCCTCCTTCTTCCCCTTCTTCTTGCCCCTTCTTCTTCTTCCTCCTCCTCTCCTTCTTCTCTTTCCTCTTCTTTCCCTTTTCTTTCTCTTTCCTTCTTCTTCCCCTTTTCCTCTTCCTTCTTCATCACTAACCCTTCCAACATCTTGCAGCCACTCACAATGGCTTCAGCCATTGTAACCATTTTCTAAGTTCTTCTTCTTCTTCTTCTTCTTCTTCTTCTTCTCTTCTTTCCATAGCAATAATGAGACGGTGAAGCCGGTCGTAACGATGTATAATTTGTTGAATTTGGTGAAAGCGTTGAAGAGTTGAAAAGTGCCAAAATCTGGCGGAAGTGGAAGAAGAAGAAGAAGAAGAAGAACTAGAAATGGTACAATGGCTGAAGCCATTGTGAGTGGCTGCATAGATGTTGGAAGGGTTAGGGATGAAGAAGGAAGAGGAAGGGGAAGAAGAAGGAAGAAGAAGAAAGAAAAGGGAAGAAGAGGAAAGAAGAAGAAGGAAGAGGAGAAGGAAGAAGAAGAAGGGGAAGAAAAAGAAGAAGAGGAAGAAGGGGAAGAAGGGGAAGAAGAGGAAAAAAGGGGAAGAAGAGGAAGAAGAGGAAGAAGGGGAAGAAGAGGAAGAAGAGGAAGAAGGGGAAGAAGAGGAAGAAGGTGAAGAACAGGAAGAACAGGAAGAAGGGGAAGAAGAGGAAGAAGGGGACGAAGAGGAAAAAGGGGAAGAAGAGGAAGAAGAGGAAGAAGGGGAAGAAGAGGAAGAAGGGGAAGAACAGGAAGAAGAGGAAGAAGGGGAAGAAGAGGAAGAAGGGGAAGAAGGGGAAGAAGAGGAAGAAGAAGTAAGAAGAATGTGTCATAAGGGACTGAAAGTGTTGTAAAGGGCTGAATGTGTTGTAAGGTGTTGAATGTGTTGTAAAGTGCTAAATGTGTTGTAAAGTGCTAAATATGTTGTAAAGTGCTAAATACGTTGTAAAGTGCTTAATGTGTTGTAAGGTGCTGTAAGTGTTGTAAAGTGATGACTGTGTTGTAAGGTGTTGAATGTGTTGTAAAGTGCTAAATGTGTTGTAAGGTGTTGAATGTGTTGTAAAGTGCTAAATGTGTTGTAAGGTGTTGAATTTGTTGTAAAGTGCTAAATGTGTTGTAAAGTGCTAAATGTGTTGTAAGGTGTTGAATTTGTTGTAAAGTGCTAAATGTGTTGTAAGGTGTTGAATTTGTTGTAAAGTGCTAAATGTGTTGTAAGGTGCTGTAAGTGTTGTAAGGTGTTGAATGTGTTGTAAAGTGCTAAATGTGTTGTAAGGTGCTGTAAGTGTTGTAAGATGCTGTAATGTATTGTATCTGTGGTAATGAATTGTTAGTGTGGTAATGTGTTGTATGGGGAGTAATCTGTTGTACTGGTCCAATGTAAGTCTATGGGAAAAAGTGCTTGAACTTTTGTTAATATCTGAAAAAGTGCTAAAGGTGGAAGTGTGAAAAGTAATAGCAATAATGAGACGGTGAAGCCGTTCGTAACGATGTATAATTTGTTGAATTTGGTGAAAGCGTTGAAGAGTTGAAAAGTGCCAAAATCTGGCGGAAGTGGAAGAAGAACTAGAAATGGTACAATGGCTGAAGCCATTGTGAGTGGCTGCATAGATGTTGGAAGGGTTAGGGATGAAGAAGGAAGAAGAAGGGGAAGAAGAAGGAAGAAGAAGAAAGAAAAGGGAAGAAGAGGAAAGAAGAAGGAGGAAGAGGAGGAGGAAGAAGAAGGGAAAGAAGGGGAAGAAGAAGGGGAAGAAGGGGGGAAGAAGAGGAAGAAGGGGAAGAAGGGGAAGAAGGGGAAGAAGAGGAAGAAGAGGAAGAAGAAGAAGAGGAAGAAGGGGGGGAAGAAGAGGAAGAAGAGAAAGAAGGGGAAGAAGAGGAAGAAGTGAATAAGATGCAGTAAGAAGAATGTGTTGTAAGGGGCTGAAAGTGTTGTAAAGTGCTAAATGTGTTGTAAAGTGCTGAATGTGTTGTAAAGTGCTTAATGTGTTGTAAAGTGCTGAATGTGTTGTAAAGTGCTAAATGTGTTGTAAAGTGCTGAATGTGTTGTAAAGTGCTGAATGTGTTGTAAAGTGCTGAATGTGTTGTAAAGTGCTGTAAGTGTTGTAAGGTGCTGTAAGTGTTGTAAGATGTTGTAATGTATTGTATCTGTGGTAATGAATTGTTAGTGTGGTAATGTGTTGTATGGGGAGTAATCTGTTGTACTGGTCCAATGTAAGTCAATGGGAAAAAGTGCTTGAACTTTTGTTAATATCTGAAAAAGTGCTAGAGGTGGAAGTGTGAAAAGTAATAGCAATAATGAGACGGTGAAGCCGGTCGTAACGATGTATAATTTGTTGAATTTGGTGAAAGCGTTGAAGAGTTGAAAAGTGCCAAAATCTGGCGGAAGTGGAAGAAGAAGAATAAACAGTAGGAGAGCATATAGTGGCTGCATAGTCTATGCAGCCACTCAATAAACAGTAGGAGAGCATATAGTGGCTGCATAGTCTATGCAGCATAACTAGAAATGGTACAATGGCTGAAGCCATTGTGAGTGGCTGCATAGATGTTGGAAGGGTTAGGGATGAAGAAGGAAGAGGAAGGGGAAGAAGAAGGAAGAAGAAAGAAAAGGGAAGAAGAGGAAAGAAGAAGAAGGAAGAGGAGGAGGAAGAAGAAGAAGGGGAAGAAGAGGAAGAAGAGGAAGAAGGGGAAGAAGAGGAAGAAGGGGAAGAAGAGGAAGAAGGGGAAGAAGAGGAAGAAGGAAAGAAGAGGAAGAAGGGAAAGAAGAGGAAGAAGGGGAAGAAGAGGAAGAAGAGGAAGAAGAGGAAGAAGAGGAAGAAGGGGAAGAAGAGGAAGAAGAAGAAAGTAAGAAGAATGTGTTGTAAGGGGCTGAAAGTGTTGTAAAGTGCTGAATGTGTTGTAAGGTGTTGTAAAGTGCTAAATGTGTTGTAAGGTGTTGAATGTGTTGTAAAGTGCTAAATGTGTTGTAAGGTGTTGAATTTGTTGTAAAGTGCTAAATGTGTTGTAAGGTGTTGAATTTGTGTTAAAGTCTTAAATGTGTTGAATTTGTTGTAAAGTGCTAAATGTGTTGAATTTGTGTTAAAGTGCTAAATGTGTTGTAAGGTGTTGAATTTGTTGTAAAGTGCTAAATGTGTTGTAAGGTGTTGAATTTGTGTTAAAGTGCTAAATGTGTTGTAAGGTGTTGAATTTGTTGTAAAGTGCTAAATGTGTTGTAAGGTGTTGAATGTGTTGTAAGGTGCTGAATGTGTTGTAAGGTGTTGAATTTTTTGTAAAGTGTTGAATTTGTTGTAAAGTGCTAAATGTGTTGTAAAGTGCTAAATGTTTTGTAAGGTGTTGAATGTGTTGTAAAGTGCTAAATGTGTTGTAAGGTGCTGTAAGTGTTGTAAAGTGCTGTAAGTGTTGTAAGGTGCTGTAAGTGTTGTAAGGTGCTGTAAGTGTTGTAAGGTGCTGTAAGTGTTGTAAGGTGCTGTAAGTGTTGTAAGATGTTGTAATGTATTGTATGTGTGGTAATGAATTGTTAGTGTGGTAATGTGTTGTATGGGGAGTAATCTGTTGTACTGGTCCAATTTAAGTCTATGGGAAAAAGTGCTTGAACTTGTGTAAATATCTGAAAAAGTGCTAAAGGTGGAAGTGTGAAAAGTAATAGCAATAATGAGACGGTGAAGCCGGTCGTAACGATGTATAATTTGTTGAATTTGGTGAAAGCGTTGAAGAGTTGAAAAGTGCCAAAATCTGGCGGAAGTGGAAGAAGAACTAGAAATGGTACAATGGCTGAAGCCATTGTGAGTGGCTGCATAGATGTTGGAAGGGTTAGGGATGAAGAAGGAAGAGGAAGGGGAAGAAGAAGGAAGAAGAAAGAAAAGGGAAGAAGAGGAAAGAAGGAAGAGGAGGAGGAAGAAGAAGAAGGGGAAGAATAAGAAGAAGGGGAAGAAGAGGAAGAAGGGAAAGAAGAGGAAGAAGGGGAAGAAGAGGAAGAGGAGGAAGAAGGGGAAGAAGAGGAAGAAGAGGAAGAAGGGGAAGAAGGGGAAGAAGAGGAAGAAGTGAAGAAGATGAAGTAAGAAGAATGTGTTGTAAAGTGCTGAATGTGTTCTAAGGTGTTGTAAAGTGCTAAATGTGTTGTAAGGTGTTGAATTTGTTGTAAAGTGCTAAATGTGTTGTAAAGTGCTGTAAGTGTGGTAAAGTGCTGTAAGTGTTGTAAGGTGCTGTAAGTGTTGTAAGATGTTGTAATGTATTGTATCTGTGGTAATGAATTGTTAGTGTGGTAATGTGTTGTATGGGGAGTAATCTGTTGTACTGGTCCAATGTAAGTCAATGGGAAAAAGTGCTTGAACTTTTGTTAATATCTGAAAAAGTGCAAAAGGTGGAAGTGTGAAAAGTAATAGCAATAATGAGACGGTGAAGCCGGTCGTAACGATGTATAATTTGTTGAATTTGGTGAAAGCGTTGAAGAGTTGAAAAGTGCCAAAATCTGGCGGAAGTGGAAGAAGAAGAATAAACAGTAGGAGAGCATATAGTGGCTGCATAGTCTATGCAGCCACTCAATAAACAGTAGGAGAGCATATAGTGGCTGCATAGTCTATGCAGCCACTCAATAAACAGTAGGAGAGCATATAGTGGCTGCATAGTCTATGCAGCCACTCAATAAACAGTAGGAGAGCATATAGTGGCTGCATAGTCTATGCAGCCACTCAATAAACAGTAGGAGAGCATATAGTGGCTGCATAGTCTATGCAGCCACTCAATAAACAGTAGGAGAGCATATAGTGGCTGCATAGTCTATGCAGCCACTCAATAAACAGTAGGAGAGCATATAGTGGCTGCATAGTCTATGCAGCCACTCAATAAACAGTAGGATAGCATATAGTGGCTGCATAGTCTATGCAGCCACTCAATAAACAGTAGGAGAGCATATAGTGGCTGCATAGTCTATGCAGCCACTCAATAAACAGTAGGAGAGCATATATACCACCTATTGTGAATATTACATACAGTCCCTAAGTTGTTAGCATCACCTTTAATGCATTTTTTCCAGATGTCCGTTTGATAAAAAAGGATGAAAATCAAAATAAATATTATGTTACTTAACTCTGCATTAAAAAAGAACAAATCTTTCCCCTTTTGCAATGAAAAATACCAGAAAATAAATATTCTGGCCCATACAACTGTAATGATTTAAATAATTATACCACCTATTGTGAAAATTACATACAGTCCCTAAATTGTTAGCATCACCTTTAAGGCATTTTTTCCAGTTGTCCGTTTGATAAAAAAGGATGAAAATTAAAATAAATATTTTGTTACTTAACTCTGCATTAAAAAAGAACAAATCTTTCCCCTTTTGCAAAGAAAAAGACCAGAAAATAAATATTCTGGCCCATACAAATATTGTTTTATCCATAAGTTATTGACCAATGGGTCAATATAGTAATTATTGTGACCCGCGATACGTCTCCTTTTGGTGTTGTTGTAATACACTAGCAGTTTCTATGATCAAGGCATTCACTAATGAGCACCACCAACACAATAAACTAAAATCTCTCTGCCATTATTTCTTTGCGTGCAAATATGTAGGGTCTCAGAGGCAAAATATGAGGAGGGGAGATGAGAGCGGCCGATTAGATGCAAGGAATGTAAAAGAAGAAGAGACGACAATGAGAGAGTAGCTAAAGTTAAAAGGGATCATGCGCACCTGAATGGGGATGATGGGGTGGAGATTCAGTGCCCCCTTCTGGTGGAATTTGGAGAAGCAGCCAATGCAGTAGTCCTCGGAGCATTCTGCACACTTGTACAAAGAAAAATGTAAATGAGGGTTCATATTTTGTCTCGCTCCTGCCGTAAATCCACCACTAACTCATACTTTATGTGACAATCTGAGGATGCTTTTACATAGTTTCATATTAATTCATCATCAGCTTTTGCATATGATCATAAAGAATAGAAACTCTAAAGTGCCACTTTGTAACAAAGAGCAATGTAAAATGTGTTAATAAAGACTAAAGCTATAGCACACAAATATTTATTAACATGTGTTAGAAGGTAGGGGTAAAGCATCAAATAGGATCATCAAGAAGTTGCCGAATACATATACATATTTGTTGACGCTCAGGTGTGTTTGCCTGCCTGTTTATTAGTTTATAGAATCGATAACTCACAAAGTTATAGGCAGATATGCAAACAATTTGTATTCGGAAGTGACCCAGATCACAGTCTGGATTTTATATTTAAGGATTGGAACTGTGTCACTTAAGAGAGGTCTGCATTCTAATTGCGCTTTTCTAGTGGTCAAATCCTTTATTAAGCATACATTATGTTATATGGTGTAACTAACCATTTATTTAAAACAGGCTTTGTTAAATATGAGTGTCCCACTCGTGAGAAGCACAGGAGTCTTGCCCAATGGCAACAGCTGCACCACTCACGGGCGGAACGGTGGCACAGTGTTTAGTACTCATGCTTCACGGCAAGGAGCATCTGGGTCCTGGGATTCCACATTTCTGTAGGGAGTTAGCATGTTCCTCCTGTGCCTGTGTGTCCCCTACAACTACAAACAGGTCCAACATGTGTCCAGGTGACCCCGCTTTCATCACTGTGTGGAGTGGCCGGGAACGCATTCCTGCATTGTTTGTTCATTTTCTTGAATTAACTCAGCTCTTTCTTGCTCATAATACGCACAATGGATTAGCACATGTTCAACATTCTCTGGCTCTTGACAGTAGTCGCAAAGTCCAGTAGAGTGTTTTCCTATCCTAAACAACGAACTGTTCAGACTTGTGTGACCTATTCTCAAACGCGCGATGGCTCTCTCTTCCTTTGCGCTCCTGCCCCGGGATTTATATGGACCCACATTCCGCTGTATTGACCCCTTGCATGTGACGTCCCGGCCACGCCCACTCTCCATGACAGACGGCAGAATTCTAACAGCGAGCCTACGGACACCTGACCAAAACAACCTGTGTCAGCGCATTACAGCCAAAACTGTGACATCTTGCTGTGCGGTTGATTGTACTAACAGGCAAGGACATAAGCTTTTTTATCTGATACCTGCTCGTCATGAAGACAGAAGACGACGATGGCCAGCGGCAATCAACCAAAAAGACTGGGACCCATCCAAGTACTTCCTAATATGCAGTGAACACTTTTTACAAGATAAAGCAATCACAAGTTTGTATTTATTTTATTTCCATTAATTTGGAGGACAATGACACACGTTAAACGTGTCTCTTACTACTGTCCTGTATGTGCGCTGCAACATTGACATTTTTATCTTTTAAGTCAATTGCGTGTTTCACTATTTTCCTCTCCGTCAGTACGTATCATGTTTGGCTGTAGACAGAAAAGTCACAGAAAAGTGGACTATTGCTAATGCTACCAGCAAAATGTACATATAAGTCTGCTCCAGTGTAAGGGGATGCATTGTTAACGATAATGATAAAGATCATGTAGGGTGAATTCGGGCAAAAATAGACATTTTATTTAATCGATAAAATTGACTGGGGGGAGAAGGTACGGGTCAACATCCAGTTAGGCAATCCTTAACTTCTCCAAATACCACTCTTTGTGAGCCCTGACCTGATGTCCTACTTCCACCTATAACGTAATCGAACATTGCTTGAGGCAGCCAATTCTCGATTTAGGAGAGGAAGCTCAGTTTTTAAGAGTTGTAGTCCGTTTTGCTCTCGCAGCAATGCTAGTTTCCAATACTTCCGCCGTAAGCTCATTCACAATCACGTGACTGGATGAGGTTGATGCATCTGGTCAATACCAGGCGTACTTAAAGTGGTTCTCACCCCCGCTCCTCGGAGCTTACGTCACTCACATTTCCTGTTCAAATCTTCCTCTAAATGGGCGTAGCCTGGAGGACTGAAGGGGGCGTGAACGAGACTGGGCCGTTTATATTGCTCTGGGCGGGGGGCTGCTGACGTCAGGTCCAACTTGCAGACGTCAGGTCCAACTTCTGTGCCAGTGTTGGCGCCAGATTCAAAATTCAAATGTAGTAATACAGGTCGCCAGCAGATGGCGCCTCACAGACGGTTTTAGGCAGAAAGTTTAACTTTCAACTAATTTGCACCAAAGTGAAAAAACTATGACCAGGATATGTAGACAACACTATTGGACACTCATTTAAATCGTTTATCAGCAAAAAAAAGTGGATTTGAGGGTGAGTTGTCCTTTAAGAGCCCTGTGAGGCATTGTCACGGCCCTCCCCTGCCTGTTGTGGGAGGCTCCTCATGGCAGGCAGGGGTGGGGCCGTCTGATTGGAGGCACCTGAGTAGTAGGAGATTTTATGGTCTGCTCAAACTAATGTCTCTCTCTGCTCTCCTCGCCAGGTAATCCCTTTGGTTTTGTTCCCCTTTGGTTCTAATTACATTTGTTTTGTACACACAACGCTTTCGCTAGTGATGGCAATATGAAGCCCCATGAAGCCTTGAGGGATCGCAGCCTATTACTCGGCCCATGAGTCGAAGGCTCGAGGTGAATTATGCTCCACTACGCCATCATGTGGACAAAGAAATACATAACACTCTTAAGTGCTTACAATGAATGGTGAGATCTAATGTTAAAATGTATATTTACAATCTATGGTCTAACGTCTAACGGGGCGACAGTAGCTCAGTTGGTAGAGCATTGGCCTTTGGGCCTGAAGGTCGTGGGTTCAAGCCCACCATAAGACCTACTTCACGACTCCCACTGATGACTGCTGTCGTTGTGTCCTTGGGCAAAACACTTAACCCCACTTTGCCTGAAGCTCCCACTGAAAGATCTCAGCTCCTGTGGACTCACCACCTGCAGGAGGATCAGTGAGGGGCTGGTGCTAAGTGGACTGGGTGCAGCTCTGACTGCCACCCCCCCGACCCAGAAATGGATTAAGGGGAAGAAAATGGATGGATGGATGGATGGTCTAACGTGTTGTGTTTGAAATGATGCTTCATGAACTATGAACTATTTGAGTCTTTCAGTCAATTGTGTTGATACAACAAACACATCCAAAGTAATACAGTTCTACAGAAAGTTATTAATGGAGGAAAAACTACCAAGAGGTGGAT